TCATTAGCGTAGGAAAGTTTTCTGAGGGATAATCTGTAAAAAAATAAAATTTTTATGCCAATGATTTTTCTTTTCTTCTGACGGTTACATTGTTTTTAAGAAAAAAATCCCATAACTTTTTTGTGATACTAAGAGTTTTGAAAATATTATCGATTTAGTCAACAAATATCTAATGCTTGAACCAATGCTTATACTAATTTTAAAAAAAAATAAAATAACTCAAAAATGTCTCGTTTTTTCAAATATATCTTTTTTTCTTAGAAACACCAGGATTCAATGCACTTATCTAATTTCCAAAATATTCATTCAGTGGCGTCGAAATTTTGTGGTTTTCAATTACCGCATCTAGGCTACATTTGACAATTCAGCAGATATTTGAAGTCATCACCATCAATCTACGTCAAATATTTAAAAAAACTTCACCTCGGAAATGAAGAATGAAGTGTTCTAAGGTCTATGTTCATATGAAATTTTTTTCTTACTTTGGGGTGTTTTGTCATCAAGCAAAATTAACGTGAGCAATTGGGGACTCCCCTAGGGTCACCCTAAAGTTTGTAAAGTAGTAAGTATCAAATCCAATAAGGAGATTGATTTTCCAAATGAAACTAATTTGGCCTTCAGTTTGGCAACCAATCGACCTTGCGCCGAGAATCGTCGCTTCCTTCGATTGCACAAATAACAAACAAACGCTAATGAGATAGTGCGTGAGTCTGACGAAAAAGGTGGTAACATTTAAGTTAATGCAATTATCACAAAACACTTCGCGCAAAACGAATAGCGCTATCGCCACCTCGTTATCTTTATTGCGGCGAACCTACAGATAAAAATTACATAAAAATAATATGGTAGAGCATCCAATAATAAGTGAACGTAATATGAGATACACCAGGGGACACGAGTATACTTTTTTATCATTACCCAGGAGAAATTTATCATAATTAATTTATGTATTGTTCACACGTACAGTCACCATGCCTGGTTTTCACAACTTCCAGTGACACACGGAATATTTGAGATACAGGGTGTTCCTAAACTAGGCGAAATTGAATTGAGAAACTTTTAATAGGCACGGTCTGGTTAAAGTGCGAAAAGAGTCACATCAAAAATGCAAATATATGTACCAGATGGCAACATCTCGGTCAATATTCCGAGAAAAATGCCGCAGCACTAATAATAGGTGCATTACAGACACTGTCTTCGTTGTAAAAATAGCGGACTGAAACAAAAACGCCAGCTCTTCGTTGGAGGCGTAGGCGAACCCAATCGGATCAAGAAAACGTCTGTATTGACTGTATAAAATCGAGTAAAACAAATGTTCGTTTTCGTATCCGATATAGGTGGTATTGGAAGTAGGTTTTCCGGTCATATCATTAAATTGTTGCCAAGGTTAATCCGATTTTAGGAGCTGGTATAATCGGTTTTGTAGAAGACTGACTAGAACCAAACTATTAAGTTTTCGCTATGTAAATGATAAATATAACCAAGAACAAAAGAGAAACCTTAATTTGCTACTTAAAAACCCCCACAAAACCACCAGATTTGGAATGAAAGTCTAGAATTTAAAATTATAGCCCGGTTAAATTCATTATAAACTTTTCTCTTGAAATTTTTAAGTCGTTTTAGAACGGCCCCTTTTGATTTTTTTACAAAATTGTATTTGTAAGAGTCCCCTGTACATACATTAAATTCTTTTTTGATAAGTTTTGCATCACCCTGTAGTATTAATACACTCAACGAAATTAATTAACTTACTTAAAAATGACATAATTACTAGTATTTAAAAATCTGTATTTAATTATATTTGCTAGTAAATAACTTGTCTGCATTGTGCATTATTATGACAAATGTCAATGAATTTTCATCATAAATAGCTTAGATCTGCAAGAGTTTTAAGAAAATAATATATTTTGATAGAAATTATTCTACAGCCCTTCAACCAAATTGATTTTTAAATATGTAGGTAGGTACTGCCCAAAATGTATTTATTTAACTTCTTTTTGGAGATACAGATATACATTCCTTGATATTTTTCATAAGAATCACCTACACTACTTTTTATTTACGCAAGAAGTAAAAGAACTTATCCAGTATAGGTAGGTACCTATTTAAATAATCAATTATACGTTACAAAATAACAAAAATAAGTTCATAAAGTTCATTTGTACATAAAATTCCCGTTTTTTTTTTGGCCGGATTGTTCAACAAAACGAATAAGAGACAGGTTATTCCAAATTGCAAAAACAGTTAAGCGTAGTTATATAAATAATATTTTTTTCATTCATAAATTACATATGTGATCAATCATAATTAACTTAGGATTATAATTTTTTTTAGTCTTGCCTATGTTTTCATTTAAAATGACCCTATTGACCACCTTAAAATGACAAACGTCTGTAGACATATGTATTTTATATGATAGAACTCGTTTTAAACTCGGTTTTAAATTTTGAGCAATTTTATTTCACCCTGTACAGTAAAAACATTCTATTGGCAAACATTACTTGCACTCGATATTTTTTTGCTAGATATCAAAATGAGAATATTACTAATTGATCAAGACTTATGTGGGTATGTTAAAAAATGGTACAAATTTACAGAAAAAAAATAAACATTGAAACTTTAGCTATGCTAATGTTGTCCATATGGGTAGTTTTTCTATAAAAAAATAATAAAATAAAATAAATTTCATATAAATACTAACTAAAATTACACTACAAATAAATATATTCAGACAAGAATATCACTTACACTTGTAGCTCAATAATTTCCATTGTTTAAAATTATTTCGTTCATATTTTAGTAAAACGTTTTCCACAAAATTTTTATTTGTAACGTGAAATTGATAAGCGGCTGACATCAACCATATCATAACCTCAACTGACTTGTCATCGCTTCCATCAGACTCCGAATCCGATGGATTTGATGAACAATTGCATGGAAATGGAAAAACAGTTCTATGGAATTCACTGTTATAATATACGTATAATTCAAAAACGTTTTAATGAAATTTTAATGGATGGGCTTTTTACAACATCGATAAATTTAAAAACTTGCTCTATCTTTACCGCTCTTTCTAATTGTCATCTCTACAGAATCTCTCCTGAAATGAAACATGCATGAAAACATGCAAAGAATACCTGGTGATTTCATCATTGGTTTTATGTTTTATATGCTACACATTGTATAAGTTGTCTTGTAACATTAACATTAGATAAACCGATGGCATTTTCTGAAGTTGTTTATGATGGCCTTTAAAACTGTTGGTAAGCCTACGTCAACAATGAATATAAAACACCTTCAGATCCATGGCAATTCCGTTAATATCAGAAACCACTAGATTTTCAACATATCTAAAATAGTCTAAAATGGAAAGTCCTCCAAAATGCAAGCACCAAGTAATTATAAAAAGTGTTCGGTTAAATGGAAGAAATGTAGATCATCTGCATAAATAGATAATTTTAAAAATATTGGCAAAAGTGCTTGAAATACCTTGATAATAAATTTTTTAGCATATTTCTATCTCTATCTATTTTAATAATTTCATAGAATAAGTACAATTGATAACTGTCGGATATTAATAATTCAGTTAATAACCTGGTTAGTAACAATAACTACCTGGATCTTGCTTTCTGATGTTGATGTTTTCTAACCAATCTACATTTTCTACAATACAAGTAACGTTTTCTATTCAGCTTTCTGAAATTAAATTTTAAGTAGCAAAAGTAGTTAACAAAACAAAAACATGTTTTATGGCTAATAGAGGTACAATAATGACTGGAAAATCGGGAATATACCTACTTTTATTAACATATAACCTGCATAAAATCACAAAGCTATAGTTTATGCTTTCTGCAACAAAAATGTAACATGAAAACCCCCTCCCAAAGAGTGAGCAAGTGTCCATGTTCCGGACAGCTTAGGTGCCAGATATCTGGATTATAAAGTAATACTGGAAAATAAATGGCTTGGATAACCAAGAAATCGGAAATTCGGATTATAAAAACATTACTCTAGTAATAAATTTTATCTTTGTTTGTCTAAGGAGATTGTTTTACATCGATAATAGACAGGTACTCGGGCAGGTATAGGAAGTTTTTCTGAAATAACGATTGCTTAAATCAGTTCTGTTAACTTTATTTTCCTAGGTCTTCTACCGTTCTTAAACTTGGCGTTTTCGAATTTTTTTTTTGTATGTATTTAGGTAACATGCCTATAATTCCTTGTGCTTATTTCTTGCACTGGTCTGGTATACATACATTTTTCGCGAGACCTCATTTGGATGCCATAAAATTCGTCTTTACACTTTCTAATGTCCTCATGTTAATTGTCCGTTCATGAAAAGATCTGCGTCAAATAAACAACATCCCACTTAGCTTTGCTCGTTCACCTGAGCTATGCTCCAAATACATCCAAGAAAAATACAACAAATTAACTCCACTAACTACCTTGTTTACTTGTTCGAATTACCATCAGTTAGAATTTAAACGCTGGTGCGTTTTCTAATGTCTTTCAAGTCTATGTCAACCCAACCTCCCACAAATTGCGAAACCTCCGATATGGATAAACAGATGACTTGAATTGTGACCTTCTATTATTATGAGTATTATCCGCAAATAGCTCTTCGCTGTACGACTCTATGTATTGTGTTCCTGGTAAAGTAAAATTGATTCTTGGACGTGTTTTCATACAATCGATTTATAATTAGTGTGCATGGAGTGTGTGCCACACATATGATAATTTTATAACAAATTCTGACGTCATACAAGTAGAAAGCGAAACAGTCATTGAAATCTCGATTTTCAAATTTGATTTAGAAATTCAGGATGCGTAAAACGTAATCACAACCTGATTAGAGTACACCATATTTGCTTGAACTTAGGTAGGTATTTTTAAATAATTCTAAATATGAATAATAAAGGCGTGTGCAAATTTGCAAGAAATATTCCAATAAACAAACAAATACGCCTTTGGCGATATAAATTTCAAGAAATAAAACCTACCTTTGGCTTGTACAACCATTTTCTGATGGAATCCATCTTAAATAGCAAGCACGCTGCCTTGGTTTGGGCACTATAATGGCATTATCTTGTTCAAATAAACCTCGCAAAATTATTGTTTAAATATGTACAACTAATTAGAGCACTACAAGAAACCATGTTGTTCGCTTGGTAACGGGTATTTCAGAACACGTTTTCGTAGGGAATCTCGAGAGGGGTTGCTCTCTATCGACTCGCACAGATCATTTTTTTTATTTCATTCTTGCAATCTGGGAACTAGGAACCGATGTCACATGAAGTACAACCACTTTGACACAACAAAACGTCTGTTAAAAACAAGTGACTCACGACATACTGATTAATTTTGACAGCGTGTTTTACTGTAGCGTCCTCTGCTACAAAAAAAATAAATTGAAATTGGTGAATGTGCGCCATCTTTGAGTTGTTAGCTTAAAGTTTTATAAATATGATGGAGAAATCTTTAAGAAATATCGTTGGCAGCGACATCTAGCAAACGATAGTTCTTTGACAGGAATCTTCTTCGGTAGAAGCTCCATCTAGTAAGTGTTTTGTTTAGGAATCATAATAGATTTCTGTAAGATGTAGTGCGCCATCTCTAAATTAATAGTAACAGCTATTATGTTAAACAAATGTGGCATTTAAAGTTGACTGTATTATCGAATCAGTATGTCGACATTTTAAAAATTGAACCTTATTTGTCTAAATTATTTCTGTTCAACATGCATTGTAAATGATATTTAATAAATAAAATGGATGCATATTTTATTATATTTATCAAAACTGTAAATAAACATTGTCTAGGTATAAAAAATAGAATTACAATGTACAGGATGTTTTTTAGGAAGTCTATGTAATGTAACCTTAAGATTTTAAACGAGGCATTTCGGAGTTATTTTTTTCCTCTGACGGGGAAAAAAGATAAACTTTTTTCCTTGGGTAAAAATATATCACATTTTTTACCAGGAAAAATTTATTTCTTTATCGATTTTTTAAGTTTTTAATATTTTACAACGATTATACTGTTTATCAGATAGGTAAAGTTATTATGAAACTGAATTCTTTTAATATATAACGTGACTTATGCACCGATCCTCATGAAAATTTTAGGATTTCTAGCAACAGTGTTATGCTTACAATAATTAGACATTTAACAGTTAAAAAAGATACGAAAAATAATGTAAAAACACTGCTTTTTTGTTTTTGTTTTCGAGGTATAAAATTGGTAAATATTGTAAAAGTGGAAAAATATGAAAAAAAATCATGAACCTCGAGATAAAACGACTTAAAAAAATACTTTTTCGAGGTAATTATAATATATTATTTAGAACAACGAAAACAAGTGAAATATTAATTTTTCACAATTAATTAATGGAAAGAAAGAACAATCGTTTCTCTACAACTAAAAAACTAAGTGTTTTTAAACAATTTTCTATACAGGGTGGGTCGCCAATATCGCCTCGGTCGCTAGTGACCAAACGGCAAATGTTATAGAAACCTGTTTAGGTCGGTATGTGTACGTTGATTACGACTACATTTTAAAAATATTTTGAAATATACAGAGTGTTCAGGAAAAGCGTACCATATCAAAGTTTTGTTTTTTTAAATGGAACACCCTATATTTTACTGCATTTTGAAAGCACCATAAAAAATAGGTGAACTTTACGAAAGGTTCTGCATACCTAGGACTTATAGTTTGTAAGATATTTCAATTTTAGTCAAAATGCAAGCATAGCGTAGAAATTTAATATTAGCAATAAAAAAATAATTTTAAGGAAGCAGCTTTGGAGGGTCTATTTTAGATCCTTGAAGTTATAAATTGTTATATTTGTCGTCACTTAGTATTATACAGGGTGTTCAAAAAACTGCTGAATACTTCTCTCAACTTTAAACAGCAATAACTTGGTTATTTTAAATGGGACACCCAGTATATTTTTACTTTGGGAGTTGGGAAATCTAAAACATTAAGGCTATTTGATCTTATCCTAAGGCATAACTTTTAGAAAATAGTCTATAAAGTATGCTGCAAAAATGTAGATATGATGAAAATGAAAATATAATTTTAAACATAACAATACTGCGTGGAATAAAAAATGTTCCAGTAACGTTTTAGTTAGTTTTGAAGAGTACTGGTTAAATGGAATCGATTTGTGGGTAATCATGTCAAAAATTTCAAATTCTGTCCCATTTCTGTCCCATTTCTGTCCCAATAAAATAAACAGGACCGGGGACCTGTCCGTCGCCAACGTAGACATCAAAACTCACCCAATTAACACAATTGAGAAACAATCGTGTTCCTTTTTTCGACCAAATAACAAACTAATTTCTCCGTCTGACTGTTATCGCGTGACAAATGCCTGTCGCCAGACCAAGAAAAACAAAAAAAACTACAATCTAAGCCCGCTGCGCTGTAATCAATATAAGTATAGATAGGCCCTCGAATAAGTCGAAATACCTTTAAAATAACTTGTAAATGCCTTCAATTTTCGTGATAGGCGCCGGGATAGAGCTACTAATGTAAAGAGCCAGTTAGCTGTATCTTTTTTATTTATTGCCACAGATATTATAATACTTTCATTTAATTTTCGGATGAATTTTTGTTGATGGACTCAGCTGTTATTTATTGATCGTCAGGCCACTTCTGGGGACGTAAATGGGTTTTAATTGGGGAAAATATGCTTTTAACAACATTTATTTACATATAAGTGGGGTTGGCTATCGTCAACTGTGATACACATTTGATTTATATGCAAAATAGGCCCGAGTCCAAATGCGTATACACATATTTTAATATCTTAAAAGCATTATGACGTTTTTTTCTTATTTCTATTTTAATAATTCAGAACTACCCAATCCTTTAATGGTTTTATACAAGGTGTCCGGTAATTATAAAAAATATTTTGTCGGAGACTCAGTTTTAACGAAATTACATTACATAACCTCAAAATTATATTTTTTAATAGACATTTTGTCATAACTTCCTTTTAGTTAAGCTGTTAAAAAAATAAGTACATTTATTGTTGGTAACAAAATGCACCTTCAAAAATGAGCAAATTATGATTAGAAATTAAAAAAAAATGATTTTAATATTTGAGTTAAAAAATCTTCAAAAATTCCAAAAATTCCCAAAAACTTAATCGGTTTAATGTTTAATGTAGTAAAACTAGTGAAAAGTTATACTATAAATAAAAGCTTTTTCATAATTGTTTTGTTGCTTGAAAAAAGCATTAATTAATTATGATTTTATTTCTCTATTATTTTAAAAATTGACAGCATTGGAAAACTGTTATTTTTGTGTTTTTTAAGAACTTATATCTAATTATTTCAGAAAATTATTGATATAGCTATAATTAAAAAATAAATAAATAAATAATAAAAATAAAATAATTTACTTTATTCTAATCATGCACAAATATACTACCATACAAAATGGTAGAAACATTACTAAGGTTATCTTTTTAAAACAAAATTCAGTTGAAGAGGAAACTAATTCAGTAAGTAATACTTACAAAATTTTTAATTTTGCATGTGCGTTATATTCTATCATTGAAAAATCGACTGTCAGTGACTTAACACCTTCGTTTTATATAGAAATTTATACAGGATGAGTCAAAATCAACATTGCATCCGAGAGTACCTACTTCTGAAAACATATAGGTTGTAGGTACAATTCAGTACTGGTACGGTTCATCAGTTAACATTTTTTGGTGCGCCTAGTTAGCGATAGGTCGTGCTTTGCTTAGTTAAAACCTTAAAAACAGTCGACAATTCTACGGTTGTCTCACCAAAACCGGTATATGTCTGGTGGTTCAACTGACGGACGATCCTCTCCGTTTACTAGATATTGCAAGATCAAGGCAATACCGGTTGGCGTATGTAATTCGTAGAGTAGTTGTTCCCTGTAATATAATTAGTTTGAATAGGATTTTTCATGTGAACATTTTCGAGAAATGTTCCATTTTCACGGTGACCTGAAGTCGTTTTTAAAAAAGCTCTTTCTATTTTTCAATTGGAAACACAATTTTCAAAAATTCAGACAAGGAACTACTGTGATGACAAATAAAAAATCGAATTTTTCGTGAAACTGATAAATATCAAAAAGTATTAAGATAAGAGACATTTTTCATTGAAATTTAAAAGTTTCATGGATAAGTGTGAATTATTTTTAATTGATACAAGTCTGTACTTACTACTTTTTTTATTAAATCAGTTATCCATGTCTCCGCCACTGGTGCTTTAGGGGACTTAATATTACCCCATGTAAGGGAAACATAACATATCCAGATATGTGTAACACATTTTGTGTTAATATCCCCTTTAGTTTGAGAAACACAAGAGATAGATTTTTTTAACATTATTTCGCTGAAATAATGTGAAAAAAAACATGTGAGTATATACTTCTATATAAGTATTCATTCTCAACCGTATCCAGTATAACATAAATCTGACTTGCCCTGTATATATATTTTTTTCAATCATTTTTTTAACTTTTCTCCTGTTACTTTCCTGTTTTATTTTAGCTTCATTTTCTAGGAACGATCGAACCGAATCAACCAACAAACAGGCGAACCAATAGACAATCAATCAAACAAATAAACAAACAAACAAACAAACAAACAAACAAACAAGAAAACGAACAAACCAACTAATTAACTAACGAAAAAAGAAACAAACGACAAACAAACAAACAAACAAGAAAACGAACAAACCGACTAATTAACTAACAGAAAAACAAACAAACAATTATATAAATACATACCTAAATAAAATAAAGTAGGTAAATATGGCTGATAATAAATTATGTATCAACAAAAAAATAGTGGTAAATATTTGATGTTCCACAAGAACAAAGATAATACGCCTATATGTTCCGGTAAAATAAACCTAGGCTCAAATAGACAACCTCATATGAATCCCTTGTTTGCCTTCGTTTGTTTAACGTTTTTAATACTTACAACATGAATTTAATCCATCCCTTTGAATTATACTGCCATAATCCTCACTCAAACAGGTTGATTAACCCCGAAAACAGCTCGATGTACCCGCATGCAGCGATATCATTTCGAGGTCCGAAGATGCTAATTCCCTGCAGAGATGACATATTCAGGAGACAAGCAGTATTAATCCTGCAGCCGTTCCCACCCAGGCCGGTACTCGAGAGAGGCTTTGTAACTAAATACTCGTGGGCGAGCGCATGCAGGGAGGGTGCCTGGCTCTTAACTCGACGTTTCGCACCCGCCCCAATCATCAGGGATCAATTAAGCCGGCGGGTCCCGCGGGGAACCGAAACCGACGCATCTCTGTTATGGTAGCTGCTTTTCTGCGGTTAC